TCCATCCAGAGTGCTCCCTGGACGTGAGGACGGTGAGACTTTATCTCATGTACTTTGTACATGTTATCAGGAGAGAGCAGTCCTTGGAAAAGGACATCACACTTGGTGTAGTCGTTATATAATTGTCAATTTAGGAATTAAGCATGTAGCGGTAGTCTGTGGTTGTCTACATTCGGCATCATTGCATATGTTTCGTGATTCTGAAGAGGACTTTATAGATTGGCGTCGGACCTATGGGCTAATATCGGACTTATAGACTCGATCTAGACTGGGCTGGGATGTTTTCTCATTGTTCAATTGCTCTTATATATAAATCTCCTTCTTATACACATCTGTGTGTCCTTGGATTTGTTTCTCTAGTTTATGCGACTAACACATTATGGTACTTTGGGAGTGGGGCACTGGAGGAACAAATCGTAAGACGGAGAGTAGATGTTTGTTTGACTTTTGCCTCGTGGTAGTGGTCCTTCTTTGGCTAGCCGGAAGTCAGGTGTATCTTTGCAGTTTACTGAGTTGTTTTCTGGAAAGAATATGGGAAGTTAAAGCTTTGATATTATGTTTGGTTGTAGTCTTTGGCTAGTCCTATTTGAAATGATGAGAATGAATGTGATTAATGTCTATTTTGAGCTCAGGGGTAGAAATCGCCATTTGAGTTTCCCAGCCACCATGCTGGTTAGAGAAAATGGTTGACAGAAGGTCAAAATGGCTGGCAGAAATCCTAACTCTGGCTTGATACCCTAAAGAGGCCTAATCCAATATTTTTGTATAAATTGACTAGTTTAGATAAGGATTTAGATAAGCGAAATAAGGATGGAACTTGACTGTTTCAAGAAGTGAGTTTCCCGTTTCCCCGAAAATAAGACTGTGTTTTATATTAATTTTTGCTCCCTCCCCCCCAAAAAATTTTTTTGCTCCCAAAGATGTGCTACGTCTTTTTTTCAGGGGATATCTTATTTTTCCATGAAGAATATGGTACATATTTATTGTTTATTGTTTTGTTAAGAGACCTCGCATTTCTTGTCTGCTCTGGCTGCACTGCAGCCAACAGTGAGCTGTGCGGTGGTGCCCGCTGCTACAGTCCAGAGTCCAGAGTTGCGGTAGCTTCAGGGGGCTTATTTTCGGGGTGGTGTTATTTTTGAGGGATGCCTAATATTTCAGAGAGAGGCAAAACCGTAAGTATGTCTTATTTTCGGGGCATGTCTTACTTTTGGGGAAACACAGTAGTATCTGATTCTACTTTGTTTACACTGATTTCCTGTTTATTATTATTGATATAATGATTGATAGAAAGGTTTACTGGGAAGTATAAACATAGAGAGTTTGTAAGCCCACTTGTCGTCAGCCATTAAAATTGGATCATTAGATGGGTTTAGGACACACCAGCAGAGAAGGCTCTGAAAAGATAAGCCTCACCCAGTTCTTTGGAGTACTCAGGACATTTGCATTCCGAGAGACTTGCCTGGGGGCAAGCTTGACAGATTGAAGGGAAGAAAAAGGAATTCTTTGGATTTGAAGTTTGAACTCCAGTGGTTTTTGTCAGAAGCTGGAAAAAATCTGGAACCATGAAGAAATGTGAAGGAAGCCTGTGGGCAGGCTGAAATGCTTGGTAGGTAACTACCTGGATCCACTTGTTGAGTGGAAGGGGAGAAAAGCAGCAATAGAGATGAGTTGAGTCTGGCCACTGACACCTGTGGACCTGGTTTACAGGAAGTAGAGGAGAAGATGAAAGTTGGTTGACTGGTCTGAAGTTCATGATCTAGCACAAGGGGCTAGGTTGTTGAGAATTTGTGATGGTCTAAGGCAAGACGACCAATGGACATCCTGGTGAAGCCAAGAGAGGCAGCCCACACTGAGTTGACCAGAACCCGACCAGATGAAGAGAAGATTTTGAGCCTGTGAACTGGCACACATTGCTGTTGACTTTATGGATGGCCTATCCTGATTTGACTTTGCTTATGGATATGGATTTCACAAGGTTCCAACTGGAATGAAGATTCTTCATGTCGAAAAATATGATTGTTTCCTCAGAACACTGGGTTGATGTAAGTGGACAATATAGAAATTGGATACCTAAATTTGGGGGAATAAAAGCATGAAGTGGTTGGCTTACAGACTTTCATAGGTGGGGGAGTATATTCATAGGATTATAGGATCAAGGTGTAGGTGTTACTTAAATGCAGTTGCTAGGCATAGGATATTTTTGTTTTGTTCACTTATAAAATGCTATGTTTAAATGAGGGTGGCACATGTTGAGTTGTATGCATTTTTACTATTGTTTGTTTGAAAATTACATATGGTTACGGAGTTATGTGAAAGTGTCAAATTGACAAGGGGTGGTCTGTGGTAGTTATATAATTGTCAATTTAAGGTTAAGCATGTAGGGGTGGAGTCAGGTCTGTTAATCAGGTCATAGCCAATGAGGCTTCTGTGTGGGCATAGCCTTCCCTTAAGGATTCTGGAAATTCTGGTATTTCCCCTTGGAGGTAGGAGACTCTCTGCTCACACCCTGGGAGACATAGCAGCTGACAAGACACATGGACCCACCCTGATGCAGCCCTGGGTGCTGGAGAAGCCATGCAGAGACCCCTGCCAGCACTGAGATGTTTCCAATGCCACTGGATCCAAAGACTTTCTACCCACTGGTCTGTGACCTTCTACATTCAGCATCACTGCATGTGTTTCGTGAGTCCGAAGAGGACTTTATAGATTGGTATCAGACAGATGGGCTAATATCGGACTTATGGACTTGATCTGGACTGGGCTGGGATGTTTTCTCAATGTTCAATTGCTCTTGTATATAAGTCCCTTTTTTATACACATATGCGTGTCCATGGATTTGTTCTCTAGTCTACCCAGACTGACACACTTGGTAAAGTAGGTCAGTGAACAAAGGAAAAGACGCTCAATAGGATGGATGGACGAACATAGGAGCTGCAATGACAGGCTCAAACACAGCAACCATTTTGAGGGTGGCACAGGAGTGGGTGATGTTTCCTTGCTTTGCATATGGGGTTGCTATGAGCCAGAATAGACTTGCTGGCATCTAACAACAAGAACAGAGTTGTTCTGCTGTACCTGTTTGTATAGCAGTGGAGAGGTAAGCTACATACTAGGCAAGAGCTACAAGGTCAGGGTTGAAACTCAAAAGCTGCGCTATGAGAGAAAGCTGAGATTGTCTACTCTTGTCAAGATTGATAGCCTCAGCAGCAGCACAGAGCAGTTTTGCTTGTTCTGTAGGGTATGTATGAATCATTGACTCATTGGTGGTGGGCTTGGTTTTTCATTTGGTCTGTGCCTCCAATGACAGAACCATTGTCTGTTCCTCCTTCCATAGCTGTCACTCTTCCTCTTGTGGTGCTCCGGGACCCTGTTGGAGAAGGGGTGTGTGCCAGATGGTCTGAGGGGTGGATTGACAGGAAACAGGCTTTGGAAGGCTGAACATGGTCATCCTTGCTTTCTGATAGCCTTCTCCTTGCTATATCACTCTTACATAACTTTCAACGGGTGACCTTGGAAGTCCAACATCTTGATAGTCATTTTTGTTCACCCAAACCATTAAATGTACCAGGGGCTAGTAGAAGAACAGACAGATCTGTCTTAAAAGAAATATAATCCGATTGTGCCAGCTAAGTAAGAAAGGAAAGATTTCACTACATGAACTTCAGACAGGCTTCCAGGAGGGGCCAGGCCCTGGAGAAGGACAAAACATCAGAGAAACAGAAGACTATCGACTAGATGCTCTGACTTCTGCAACAATGGGCTCAAATACAGCAACAACTCTGAAGATGGTAAAGGACTGGGTGCTGTTTCATTGTAAGTAGTATCACTATGAATCAGAACTAAATAAAAACGAAAAGTTATCTAATAAGAACAACAAATTAAGGGAGCTCATTCCAAACAACTGTATCAGGGGAAATTTGAGCAAGAAATGAAAATAATAGGAATATAGATTAGCCTACACATATTTGCATTGCACTGGGTAAATCTGCTACAAGAGACCTATTTAATGAGTCAAAATGCAAGGATGTTAACCTGAGGACTACAGTGTGCCTGACTCAAGTCATGGTATTTTTAATTGCCTCATATGTATTTGAAAGTTGGACATTAAATATGGAAGCCAGCAGAAGAATAATGCATTAGAATTATGGTGCTGATGAAAAATATTGAAAATACCATGGACTATCTAAAGAACAAACCAATTACACAGCTCATTTTAAAGGCAATTTAATCAACGGGATAAAAAAGAAAGAAAGAAAATGTTCTGAAATAGATTGTGGTAATGATTGTACAATTCTTGACATAATTGAACTATTGAATTGTGTGTTATGTGGATTAAGTGCCAATAAAACTGTTGGGGAGAAAAAAAAGAACAAACCAATCTGTCCTGAAAGAAGTACACCCAAACCCTCCTTAAAAGCAAGGAGATTTTGTCTCATAAACTCAGGGCATGTTATCGAGAGAGACAAGACTATGGAAAAGGGTATCATGCTTGGTAAAGTAGATGGGCTTCCAAAAAGAGGAAGACCCTCAAGAAGGTGGACTGACACAATAGCTGCAATAATGGGCTCAAGCCTAAGAATAAGTGTGAGGATGGTGCAGGGCCAGGTGGTTTTTCATTGTACTGTGCATAGGATCGCTATGGATTGAAAACAACAGATGGTACCTGACAATTACAACAACATCCTGGAATAAGCAATGTAATAAACAAGTAATTAAAACTATTCTTTGAGGAATTCCAAATAATAACCAAAATAAATGACTGGAAAAAAATTGGTAAATGACACAGCAATAATAATAATAATAATAAAAAACAATCACTATCTAAGATTATTAAAATTACTAGGCTGAAGAACAATGAAAAAATTTCAAACATTTAAAATGAAGTCTTAAAGCATCACAATATGAGAAACTTGTTAATTATAAAGGTCAAGAGAGTTAAATTTCAATAGGAAAGTATAAACGGAAATCCAAAGCTCTCCAAAGAAAACTCTTAAGCCAAATACAAGATCAGTGTTTTTTATTGCATATAAATGACATCAATGGTACATTTAAAAATCATAAAACCACATTTATTCAAGATATTCCTCATAGTCTCATTTGTAATAGCCAAAACCTTTAAAAAAGTTAAAACTTTAACTTGTAATGAGAAATTAACAAACACTGATGAATACATCCTCATTGTTACAAGGATAATGGCATTTTACCCAAAGACAGAAAGGTATTCTAATAACCCCTTATTTGGATAAGAAGTTGTTTCCTAGTCACTGAGAAATTATATTTCAATTGCAGAGCTTTTGAAATTTGCTCTTTGAATGAAACAGGTAGCTCTTGAATAGAACAGTCTCTTTACAGTGACTTTTTATATCTCTAGAGAGGAGTGAGGAGAATATAAAGGCTTTCTCATACTGCTTGCATTCATAAGGTCTGGTTCCACTAGGCAGCATTGTATTTGTAGCCAGGGTTGAGAAACACGAAAAGGCTCTCCCACCTTTCTGATGTTCATGTGTTCTCTGTACTGTGAACCCTTATGTGTGCAGTGAGTCCTGAGATCTGCTTAAAGGCTTTCCCACATTCCATACATTTATAAGGCTTCTCTGCACTGTGAGTCCTTATGTGGGCAGAAAGGGATGATTTGTACATGAAGCCTTTCCCACATTCCTTGCATTCGTGAGGCCTCTCTTTCCTGTGAGCTTTTATATGTCTAGTGAGATGTGAGGAACACCTAAAGGTTTTCCCACATTCCTTACATTCATAAGGCCTCTCTCCAGTGTGAATTCTCATATGTGTTGCAAGAGCCGAGAGATACACAAAATATTTCCCACATTCCTTGCACTCATGAGGCCTGTCTCCAGTGTGAATTCTTGTATGTGTAGTGAGAGCTGACATATGCTTAAAGGCCTTCCCACATTCCTTACAATCATAAGGCCTCTCTTCACTGTGAGTCCTTAAATGTGTACTAAGGTCTGAGTGATACTTGAATGCTTTCCCACATTGCTTACATTCATGAGGCCTCTCTCCAGTGTGAATGATTTTATGCTTAGTGAGGGCTGAGAGCTTCTTAAAGGCTTTCTTACATTCCTTACATTCATAAGGCCTTGCTCCACTGTGAATACTTAAATGTGCAGTGAGATCTGAGGAACCCCTAAAGCGTTTCCCACATTCCTTACATTCATAAGGTTTCTCTCCAGTGTGAATTCTTATGTGCGTATTGAGGGCTGATGTCTGCCTGAAGGCGTTCCCACATTCCTTACATTCATAAGGCCTCTCTCCACTGTGAATCCTTATGTGTTTGGTGAGGGCTGAGAGGTACCTGAAGGCTTTCCTACATTGTTTACATTCATAAGGCCTCTCTTCAGTGTGAGACCTTAAATGTGTGGTTAAGGTTGAGAGCTGCCAAAAGGCTTTTCCACACTGCTTACATTCATAGGGCATCTCCGTGTTTCGAAATTTCTCATGGAAAACAAAAGGTGAAGGATGACTACATGGTTTACAGTACTCGTTACATTCATGGTTTTTCAAATGCACCGACAAGGATGAGAAACGACTGAAATGTTTCCCACATTCACTGTATCCATAGGGTTTCCCACCAGTAAGTGTTGTCACAGGATTAGTAAGCTTTGAGACACAAATTAGTTCGTTCCCACGTACCTCATATTTATAGGGTTGTTTTCCACTAAGACTTCTCATATGAGTGGTTAGGGGAAAGGGGCAGCTGCAGGCTTCTCCACATTCTTCACACGGACAAGTACCGTGAGCTGTAGTCTGACGCTTCTGTGGTAAGTGATCCACGAGGGCTTTCCCACACTCATAGAATTCAGAAGCATTTACTTCCGAAGGACTTCTTTTCAGCACAGTGTGATTTAGAATCCGGCTGAAAGTGGTTCCACACTGATTTCCTTCATTACTTTCACAGATGTTGTCTATGGTATGAGTTCTGTTAAAAATAGGCAACATATCCTTAGAAGTATCCCTATCACCTCCTTACCAGACACAGTATACATGATAGTTCTTGCTCTGACTTATCTCAAAACTTACAGATCAAACTCTTTATTTAAAACTACCATTACAATAACTGTTTTTCGACTCACTCACTCTCACTGTCTCACTCACTCACTCACTCACTCACTCACTGTCTCACTCACTCACTTAAAAAAAAACAAAGCAATCAGTTTTTCTAAAACATGTGGGTTTATAATTTTCTCCAAGCAAAATGTGTCAAATATATGATGCATGATTCTCATTTATAAAATGTTATGTTGTGAAAATTCCCTGAAAACCCAGATCTGTATATGTTCTTGTTAGATGCCAACAAATAGAGCCCAAATATGCAAGAAGGCTTGACCTTGCATTATGCTCACAATTGTTGCTGTTTGAGCCCATTGTTAGAGTCACTTCTGTCAATCTTTCTCATTAAGGATCTTCTTTTTCATCGACTCTCTACCAAATATATGTATAAACAAAATATACACAGAGACACATACACATACAAACAGAGATATTGTTGTTAGTTGTCACCCAGCCCATTAAGATCAATAGTGACCCTATGTACAACAGAATGAAGAACTGCCCAGTCTTGCACCATTCTCATGATTTTTATATTTGAGGCCACTGCTGTAGCCACAGTGTCCACCCATCTGGTTGAGGCCTGCCTCTTTTCTGCTGCCACACTAGTTGACACCAAGCATGATGTCCTTCTCTGTGGACTGATCTCTCCTGACAACATAGACAATGTTCTTGACATAAAGTCTTATCATTCTTGCCTTTAAGAAACAAGCTGGCTGTACTTCTTGCAATACAGATATGTTTGTTTTTTTGGAAATTCATGGTGCTTTCAAAATTCTTTGCCAGCACCACAGTTCAAATGCTGATCTATTCTTAATGAAGAATTTAATTCTTTATTCAATGTCTAACTTTCATGTGCATTTGACATGACTGAAAATACCTTGGCGTGGGTCAGGCACACTTTAGCCCTCAAATTAACATTCTTGCTTTTAAACCTTTAACAGGTCTTTTGCAGCAAATTTAACCAATACAATGCATTCTTTGATCTCTTGACGGCTGCCTCCCTGAGCACTGTGTGTGGACCCAAGTAAGACACAATTGTCAATATTTTCTCTCGTCATCATGTCACCTACTAGTCCAACTGGGAGGGTTTGTCTCTTTTACTTTAAATTGCCATCCATACTGAAGGTTGCAATCTTTGATTATCATCAGTAGGTGCTTCAAGTCCCCACATTCAACAAACAAGGTTGGGTCATCTGCAAATAAATGGTTGTTAAGAAGCCTTCCTCCAATACTGTTGCCACAT